TCTGAAAGTAAGAAGATCGTAAGAACAGCGTCCGGGCCGAAAACTTGAATGGACCATAGTACAGGGTGGTCATGGTAGTGGTGGTGGCGGTGTTCGTTGGCGCGAAATCCAAGGGGAGAAATTCCAGAGAAGAAGACCCCTCTGTCCGATTAACTCGTCACGGACGATAGTTCGAAGGTTTTCGAGATAGGCGAGAAAGAAACACGAAGGAGGGATCGTCGTTTGGCCTTTTTCTAACGGTCAACCCCCGATCAGTCCTCTCATCAGCCCGGTGACCCAGATTCACGAGGAAAGACCCTCCGCGTTTGTTACCAGTACACATACTACGTGTACATACGTGTATATACGTATAGGTAACAGGCTTCGCAGACACGTATTCCTCCACCGCAGCTGATCCCTTGACCTCGTGCAACCCCAAACGAAACGAGACCCCCTGGGCCTAACGTTCATTGACCATCTCCCGCTTGGACGAACGGGGGCCGATCGTCTTGTCGTTCCAGTTTTCTAACAAAAGCTGTCCACGGCTTTACCTCGATTACCTTCCACCTTCGATTGCGACCACTTGCCAAAATCATGGCAAGTTTAGACTTAGGCTCGTTCTTCTTCCCTAACGTTTTATTTCATCAAATATCGTTGATAATAAATCGAGTAAGGAAGAACGTTTTCTGACAAAGAATAAAGTGATATTGTTTGCGGCGAGAAGGCGATCGATCGCGAGATCCAAGTCCCTCGTCCGAGGAAGGTCGAGGATCGGTAGGGGACCGATGTTTGCCACGAACCAAACCACGTCCAATTAGTGGAATTAATACCGGTTGGCTTTGGGGGAGCTAATGCCTCTGTGTGCATACCTACGGGTATGCACGTCGATGACTGCACTTTCCTTCGTGCGTAATGAAGGACAATCCCGTCGGTTGTACCAGCTCGATGCATTCGCTCGTCCAAGCAACCGCTGCCTCCTCTTGTTTTGCGGTCACGAGAAAATATCTCGAACCGACCAGCTTACGACTTTGAGCGTGCTCCGACTGTAACGGTGCCTGCCTGTCTTTCGCTGCCCGCGGAACAATTTCGTTCGCGGCTTTGTTCGCTTCCTGTATACCCCTTTTCGGCTACGTTCATCGATACGCGATTCGCGTGAAAAGTAAATTCAATTACTTTTTGATAAAACTAAATTTAGAATATTTAGTTGCAAAGAGGGTTCGAAAAGCAATCGGGTAAAAAAATGTAAACCTGATCGACGGTGATTTTCAAGCGAGTCACCGTATGTTCGTTCGTTCACGAGAGTGCGGTTCGCTAGCGGTGTTCCTGTTACTGCTCATTGGCCACCCTGCACGAGAGAATTGCGCGAAACACAAGCAGAGCGTGTTGTTACGTAACCCTGGTCATTGTTTGCACATCGTCGTCGTCGTCGTCACAGAATTGTAACAGAGAGAATACCAGCGAAAAATGAGCGTCGAATAAGCGAGGAAAAAAGCGCGAATTTTCCCAGAGAGCTTGTAGAGAGAACGAAGGCATTCCTTGGCAACCGAGCAGACACGCGTCACGAGGACTTCAGTGCACCGGAAGCGTCGCTCTTCTGGATATCTTTGTCCGACGTTCCGTTTACCGTGTGTTCGCGACACGGATTTTTCTCCAGATTTTTTGCCACTGTTATCCTATCGCCATTAATCGCGTTAGCCTGTGTGGAAGAGGAGAGTTAATAGAGCGACGTTTACCATCGACTGGACGTTCACGAAGAGAAGTCATCTTCTGTCCGCCCCGATTGCCAACCTTAGCTTGTCTCTCGTTTCCTTTGCTCGTCGTGTTTCTCATCGCGTTTCCTCTCGAACGGCTTTCCGTTTTCTCCTTGAATTTACAGCATGCTCTGCCGTCATCCCCTTGATTCGTCGCCGATCGTCGCTCGTCGGCCACTCCACCGGTCTATCAGAGGAAAGAGAACATCGATCGAATTAACGTAATTACTCGTTCGTGCGTGATACGTGCGCGTCGTGGCAAAACGAGCGTCAAAGTCGATCCTCGGGAGTCACGAAAGAGCGGGGCAGATTTTACAAAACGTTAATTGCACGCGCGCGGGCCTATGTGTATAACGTATAGAACGCTGACTCTATACCGTATAGCCACAGGTCGGAGAAAAATCAAGAGCCGAAATAATGGATTTCGAGGCGGGACGATGAAAAACGACGATAATTTTTCTGGACAAGTACCGTCAACGTTCGGCTTTTTCAGCCCGGTTTACGCGCAACTAATTACCCATATGCCACGTGTTATTATAAATAGCCAATCGTTACCGACACACAGCCGCATCCGCGATTCGCCCATAATGGCGTGTTATCGGATAAATAAAACGGATAGCCACGGAAGGGTGCGCTCCGATTATGCATCGACGCCTCTCGTCAGCGTATGTTGCTACGTATACCTACTCTCTGGCCACCCGTATAACTGTTTTCCCAACGAACGACGTCGATAGCTTTTTTACTCGTTCCAACGTTCTCCATTATTCTCTCTCTCTCCCCCTTTGAATTAGTAAGTATATATCTAGCATGTAAACGAGACGACATACTGTAACGAGGAAAAGCTTATCGAGACACAAAAATTTCTTACCATTATTCAGTGCATACAACTATAATACTCTACATTTAATTATCATTGAATTTATGAAAAAACGAGTTCTTGTCCTTTTTTACAAAATACTTCGGTGTAAGTTGCTTCAGCTATCATGAAAAATACTTTTGAATATGCGAAAAATTTTGGAAGGTAAAATGATTTCAGTCCGCCGTGATATTCCGGCTAAACGCATTAGAAGGCTCATTTAAATACGACACAATGACGACCCGCAGCGCCCCGTCGCACGCTAAAATTCGTCGGTTGAAATAATGCTGTCCAAACACGTTATCTTGGCATCGTCTAAATCCATTCCGTTCATCGATCACAACGAGCCGTTGATCAGGATGCTTCTGAACGAAATAACCTCGTGACATCTGCGTTTTGTCCGGCATCGAACGAGGAGATGGTTTTCGTTCGCGAAAGTAACGCGTTGCCGGTCTCGCCGCGGCTCGACACCTCTATCCGACGTCAATACTTTTCCACGTTGAACGCGACGCAAGACAATCACGTTGACACCCGGTGATGGATGTCCTGGCCGCTCAAAATACCCCCCTTCAGTTTTCCCGCCAATAAAGCCCATTGTAAATGCGAACTATTCGAAATATTAGAGCGGCATGGCGATTACCGGCCGTTCAGTCATCGTTCCTGACGCACCGTAATCCTTTCCATCTTCCTCCGCGTCCTTTTTTGTTCTGCCGCCTCTCGTGCTCTTCGCTTTCCTTCGCTCCGAAACTCGTCCCCCCGAATCAGCCTCTCGTTTCGTCGTCTTTCCTCGCGCGACGTGCCTCAAACCTCGATTTCCTGCAGCCGGGTAAGAAAGAAAGAAAAAAAAAAAAAGAAAATGTCCTATCGAATGTCGAAACATCCTGCTGACAGCATATCTATTATTACCCGGAGCCCCGAAGGTTGTTCCTCTATCGGCCGTTGACAATCTCTGACGTGCCTTGTGCTCAATGAACAGCGTAACAATACTATTTCAGCAATCGAGCGAGAGAAGACAACCGGCAAACGCGGGATCGACGGTTCTCCGTTGCCGCGCTAGAAGAATGAACCACCTCGCTGTCACTTCTGGTTGCTCGTTATCGGTGTGCCGAGTCCCTTAGATACTAGCCTCCAACGTTGTAGGCGGCAGAGAGAATTTTCAACGTCCAACCCAGGGAGAAGCAATGTCCTCGTCCATAGATAAATAGAAAGGAAAAGAATCGTGTTGGAATTGTTTGTTCTCTTTCTTCTCGAAAAGTTAGCCTCGATTATCTTCACCGAGAAGGAGACAAGCCGATTCGTCGCCCCCTCTAGGGCTTCGACTCCGTGAACGCTGTGAAGCTTAAAGAGATAGGATTACTCGCGATTCGAAATTTATTTACACCGGCCTTAATCCCTATTATAGCCGCACGCGTAGCCCGAGGAAATGGCCGAGCAATTTCGGATTTCGACTGCCGTGAGATGATGGATCGCCGTTTCGTAGCCCGGCGCTGATGATACCTCGCAGATGTAACCTCCGCACCCTTTTCGGGACGGAACCACTTGCCGGTGATTATCGATTAAACGCATGCACGTTGTTGCCTCCTCTACTCGGGTCTTGCCTCGATTTTCTTTCTAGTTCGCCCCCCCTTCCTTCCTTCCTTCCTTCCTTCCTTTCTTTCATTCTTTCTTTTCCTTTAAGTCTTCGGTTGTATCGCTTTCGTTCCGGCACCGCCGACATCTGGCCCGCGGCGGCCTGATCGCCCTATCGTATCCAGAACGGCAAACTTTCCGTATCGCTGGATAAAAGGCTTGGATCGTCGTCGAAAAGTCGGCTGGCAAGTTCGCGGTCGTGCACACGGAAGCAGACGTCAAACGTGGCCTCGATGTTGGCCTAAAACTTGAATTATCGTCTCTGTAACGAGCAATCTCGATAGGATTAAAAGGTTGTTTACCGGAACGGAAAGCCGTGGAGTTTGGGTTTACTTGGCGCAGACGACAGAAGCGTATCCTGCCGGCGACGGCTTCCTAGGGAATGCATACGCGTTACACTTGTGTCTAGTTACTCTCTTCCTTTAGCTACTCTCGTTACGCGAGCTACTCCAGCCAACCGTTCCCGTCTATCCACAGTCCCTTGATAAAAATTAACATCCATATACCGGGCGCGTGCGAGCCACTCGAGCCAGACGACTTCCGGAAATGTCGAACATATGTCGCCACTTCAGATAATCCGAAGCTTTTAACCAATAATCTAATCAGCATCAAGGAACGAGAAATACATTTAGCATAATCGATCAGTACTACGGTTACCTTAAATGCATTTCGATCCACCTTTCAAAGATAAGCGACTCTTCACCGGGATACATCTGGTCGGTTATGATATGGTATTGCTCTTGAAAAAGTATGTTTCACCTCCAGAGTGACATTTTCGTTTCCAGACATTCCACTTGGGAGAGAGATTGCCGACTTTGGCGGGGTCACACAAATATTCTTTCGACCTCTTAAAGAAACGTAACAGAAATATACCAATGATGTTTCTAACGATAAAAACGATGCAGAGTTGTGAACGGAATCGGGCAAAGCTGTGCAAGAATTTTGCTCAGGCTGAAAGTCAGACGGGTAAGTCGGAACACGCCCGAGGAGGCGCAAGCTTCTTCGACTTTATAAATAATAAATTCGCGTGAAAACAGCCAGAAAGACGGAGAGAAGACAAAGACAGCGGGAGGATGGAAGAAAAGGAAGAACGAGGAGGGAGGTGAAGGAAAGACGAGAGAAACGAGGGAGAGACAGAGACGGGTGATAATAAAGAGCAGGCAGTAAGAGCGGCGAAGTGACGTCCTGTGTCGCGGAGTCATAAACTGGGCCCTAGGATCTCGGGCTTACACTCTTATTAAAACGTCGTCCTGCATATTGACGGTTATTGATCACCTTTCGCACACCTCGCTGCTTTTACGATACAAGGTTCGTGTCACCTTGAAAACCACGGATACCATCGACGTTTCGCAAAGAGTTTGACGATGTCCGTGTGGAAATGCATGTTTATTCGTATTTGGTAATACTGTAATATATTCACGAATATATGTACCTAACGAAACGATTAAAATTGCAACAGAACTGATCACGTTATTGACGCGCCTTTTGTCTTAACCGTTAGATACATTGTTAAGTGATACCATGTATAATGAGCATCGTACTGTCAACCAAATGTAGTCACTGTTTGATGTAAATTGCTGCTCCCTTACTCTTGTACGAGTCCTTTGAACAGGAGGTCCTTCAATGCGCTCTTTGCGAACAGTACCACTAAATCTATCTAGCGGTGAACAACGTAACTAACAAAACAGAAAATTACAAAAAACTAGAAAATTTTGCTCTTTACTGAAAAGAACAGAACATTATACGGTTACATTGCAATCTAAAAAGTCTTATCAAAATAAAGGTTTGACAAATTTGTATTTTAAAAAGACAATTCGATAATTCGATCTTAGCGACATCTATACAGAAACGGTGGAAACTACACGACAACTTACCGACTTTGTTTTCGAGAACACGTGACCTAGGGGGTCTCTAACACCCCAGTATGATATCCGATCGGTATGCAAGGTTCCGTCGTAAAGGGGTCCCTGACACCCCACGATGATGTCGGGGCGGTATCCAGAGGGCGTCATTGGCACAGCGGGGTCCCTGACACCCCTAGATGAAATCAGGTCCGTATTAAGAGGGCACAACCAATATAATAATCGTCCTCTATTTTTTTCCGCAGTTTATTTAATTTACTTATTTATCTTTTATCCACGTACAGGTTTTTAAAAATTCGAAGGAATAATAGAAATAGCCGAAAGTAATTTTAATGATTTAATTATAATAGTGAGTTCACATCATTGAAGTAACAATGTAATTTATACGCTATGTATTTCTCTATAAATGTCTATATGACGATTATGTATTTATTTATTTTTATTAGAACTTCTTGTGAAGTTGAACCATGTAATACATGTTTGCAAGAAAGCTCAATGTAGTTAGTGCGATACAACCACGATATATTATTACATCTCTGGTACCAGCCAAGAGAAATGAAGGTTTTGACAGGTCAGCCTGTAACATATATTTTTATGTAAACTTTCTTTCTATGTACCACTATTAATAAATATGTATTTACCTGGAACTTTTTTTGAATTTCAGCAATTCTAGAGCTTGCTTTAGCCATTTTTACATTAGAGCTATGTACTGACTTAGGTTTCGACTCACTAACCATGATTGGATCTGCTATTTGTAACTTACTGGGTGCCTAAAACAAAAATATAAATCCTTTAAAATGTTATTAATATGATTATCTGTAAAATAATTTACATGTTTAAAATAAAACTATATTCAGTTGAATCAAAAATTATACAATATCTAATTTATCACAATTCTAGAATCACTTTTTGAGTTTTTTATACATCAATACTGTATGTTACATAAACACATATGATTTCATTTCTTATACATATTTATTACTATTAAAACACCATTGTAAATGTTAACAATTATTAAATAATTACATTTAATATTTTCTGATTGTTATCTTCATGCAATACAACAATGCATCATATACATATATATTATAGAAACAGAAGCGTCTGTAAAAAGTATATGAATGCAATCAGTACATGTATTAAAAATGTATTAAAAATGTACTGAAAATTTACTAACAGTTTACTGAAAGTTTACTGAAACGAGACAGTTTATTATTAATTACTTACTAATGGGTAAAATGCTTGACTTTGTGTAGCTGGTTTTAAACGACCAGTGAATGGATTAAATTGATGGAACGACATTTTCTCTCATTGCGCAACTTACCTTCCTCTACCACGGACTTCTTTTTAATAGCTTTAGAACATCGAACGAGGAATGGATCATGCGCAATCATGTGTCAGGGACTATAGATGTAGAAGACCGGATATACCTTTGTTTTCGTTTTTGATATCGAAGTAATCTGTTATTACCTACATGAAGCTAACCGGAAGGAATAACAAAATATGATTACTTTTAATTTTTCTTAGTGTATTTCGTTTGTAAATCGTTTGTGATTGATTGTGAGTCTATTTTTAACGTTTGCGACAAATTACTTCTTTTGTAATTATCAATTTTATTACAGTCATGATGTGAGCCGAAACTTTTTAGTAATTTTTTATAATGAACAGATTTTGCGATAACTGATAACTGTAATTGATTGGAAATCGTTTGTGATTTACAAATATATTATTTTCATTGTTTGTGAGTGAATAATTTCTTAATTATGTAGAAGTTTGTTTTATAATAAATAACTGTAGTGCGCATATGCTACAGATCCGGTCGTACCCATCACTACTTCGAACAAGTGAGTTTCATGGTTTGTTCGTTTTTATTAGGTCTTATATTTCGCTATTTGCTTCGGGGTCCCTGACACCCTGGTAGCATAATAGGTATGCAGCGTCACCGGTACCCCGGGGTCTCAGATACCCCGAATGCCGTAGTGTCGGTATGCAGAGTGTCATCGGTGCTTCGGGGTCCCTGACACCCCAAGATGATATCATGTCGATATGTAGAGATAGCCACTGGTGCTTCGGGGTCCATGGCACCCCGGATACTATATTATTGGCATGCAAAGATGGTCACCGGCGTTTCGGGGTCGGTACGCAGAGGGTGTCATTGGCGCAGCGGGGTCCCTAACACCCCTGGATAATATCAGGTGCGTATGAAGAGGGCACAACCAGTATAATTTTTTTCCAGAGTTTATTTAATTTACTTCATTTATTTTTCTTTGCTTATCAAATCAGCTCATCGAAGGGGAATAACATTTATGGTTATATCCGTCTTCTGGGTCTAAGCCAAGGACCCCATTTATTTTACTTTTTGCAGTTATTCATATAATTTTATCCCTCATTACAAGCTAAGACCATCTCAGTATCTCTTATATCTCTGCATCCCTTACATCCCAACATTCTTTTCATCCCTACATTCCTTCCATCCCTACATTCTTTTCATCCCTATATTCTTTTCATCCATAAATTCTTTTCATCCCGTAAAAACCCTACATTATTATCATCCCTACATTCTTTTCGTCTTTACATTCCTTTCATTTCTACATTCTTTTCATCCCTACATTCTTTTCATCTCTACATTCCTTTCATCCCTATATTCCTTTCATCTCTACATTCTCTTCATCTCTACATTCCTTTCATCCCTACATTCTCTTCATCCGTACATTCTTTTCATCCATAAATTCTTTTCATCCCTATATTCCTTTCATCCCTACAATACTTACATCTGTTCATCCCGTAAAAACCCTACATTATTATCATCCCTACATTCTTTTCGTCTCTACATTCCTTTCATTCCTACATTCTTTTCATCCCTACATTCTTTTCATCTCTACATTCCTTTCATCCCTACATTCTCTTCATCTCTACATTCCTTTCATCCGTACATTCTTTTCATCCCTATATTCCTTTCATCCCTACATTACTTACATCTGTTCATCCCGTAAAAACCCTACATTATTATCACCCCTACATTCTGTTCATCCCTTAAATCCCTACATTCTTTTCATCTCTACATTCCTTTCATTCTGTTCATCCCTTAAATCCCTACATTCTTTTCATCTCTACATTCCTTTCATTCCTACATTCTTTTCATCCCTACATTCCTTATAATAAATATACTATGATGACTGCTTCGAGTAAAGGTATGTGAAGGTAAGTTAGTTAATAGAATTTCGCGAAAATATCGAAAAAAACAGCGCCCCCTAGCGGCAAAAATTTGAACTAAAATGTCGATGTCGAATCAGCGCCCTCTGGTGGCGAAAAAAGGAACTAAACCTTGCTCCATTTTTGGACCTCTGGCGGCAAGAATGTGAACTAAAATTTCGATGTCGAATCAGCGCCCTCTGGTGACGAAAAAAGGAACTAAACATTGCTCCATTTTTGGCCCTCTGGCGGCAAAAATGTGAACTAAAATTTCGATGTCAAATCAGCGCCCTCTGGTGGCGAAAAAAGGAACTAAACCTTGCTCCGTTATTGGCCCTCTGGCGGCAAAAATGTGAATTAAAATTTCGATGTCGAATCAGCGCCCTCTGGTGGCGAAAAAAGGAACTAAACCTTGCTCCATTTTTGGCCCTCTGGCGGCAAAAATGTGAATTAAAATTTCGATGTCAACTCAATTTCAGGGAGGCACTGGGATGTATGGAATGCAGGAATATAAGTGATGCAAGGATGTAAAGGATAGAGGCATGTAAGGGATGCAGGGATGTAAAGGATGTTGGGATATAAAGAAGGCAGGAATGTGAGGAATGCCGAGATGTAAGGGTTGTAGAGATGTGAGGAATGCAGGGATGTAAGGGAAGCAGAGATGTAAGGGATGCAGAGATGTAAGGAATGTAGGGATATAAGGGATGAAGAGATGTAAGGAATGTAGGGATGAAAAGAATATAGGGATGGAAGGAATGTAGGGGTGAAAAGGATGTAGGGGTGAAACGAATGCAGGGATGTAAGGGATGCACTGATGTAAGGAATGTAGGGATATAAGGGATGAAGAGATGTAAGGAATGTAGGGATGAAAAGAATATAGGGATGGAAGGAATGTAGGGGTGAAAAGGATGTAGGGGTGAAACGAATGCAGGGATGTAAGGGATGCACTGATGTAACGGAACGAGGGATGTAAAGGAATTCCGTAGTGGTTCGGGGCTAGGGCCCCAGTCTCCACTGCACGCGGCCCGACGAGTGCCGGCGTCGGGTGTGGCCCCCGATATCGGCGGAGTTTGGCACATGGCGGAGGGTCAAAGGACCCTCCCTACCGCCCTAGTGCAAGCCACCGTGGTGGTTTTAGTGGGTAAAAATCCCACACTACCTCCGGCCCCTCCCTAGGGGGACTGAAGGTGTCTTTCTGAAGATTTCCACCACGTTAAAATAAAAAAAAAAAAGGGTAATTAAGGGTTGCAGGAATGTAAGGAATACAGGGATGGAAGGGATGCAGCGATGTAAGAGATACTGAGATGGCCTTGGCCTTTAATGAGGGATAAAATTATATAAATAACTGGAAAAAGTAAAATAAATGGAGTCCTCGGCTGAGATCCAGAAGAGGGATATAATCATAAATGTTATTCCCCTTCGATGAGCCTATTTAATAAGCAAAAAAAAATAAATGAAGTAAATTAAATAAACTCTGCAAGAAAATTATACTGGTTGTGCCCTCTTTATACGGACCTGATATTATCCAGGGATGTTAGGGACCCCGTTGCGCCAATGACGTCCTCTGCGTACCGACCTGATATATTGGGGTATTAAGGACCCCGAAACACCGGTGGCTATCTTTGCATACCAACAATATAGCATCCGGGGTGCCAGGGACCCCGAAGCACCAGGTACTATCTCTGCATACCGACATAATATCATATTGGGGTATTAAGGACCCCGAAACACCGCTGACACTGTATACCGACATTTTGGCACCCGGGGTGTCAGGGACCCCGAAGCACCGATGACACTCTTTGCTTACTGACACTACGGCATTCGGGGTATCTGAGACCCCGAGGAACCGGTGATCCTGCATCCGATATTATGTCACCGGGGTATCAGAGACCCCGAAGCAAATAGCGAAATATAAGACCTAAAAACGAACAAATCGTGAAACTCACTTGTTCGGGATAGTGATGGGTACGACCGGATCTAGCGAAATATAAGACCTAAAAACGAACAAATCGTGAAACTCACTTGTTCGGAATAGTGATGGGTACGACCGGATCTAGCGAAATATTAGACCTAAAAACGAACAAATCGTAAAACTCACTTGTTCGAGGTAGTGATGCGTACGACCGGATCTGTAGCGCATGCGCACTACAATTATTTATTATAAAACAAACTTGTAGATAATTAAAAAATTATTCACTCACAAACAATGAAAATTATGTATTTTGTCGAACGGTGGCGGTGTTGGCGAGTAAAATCTCGTTCAATTCGCTTCAACCGCCGTACAGCTAGCTTATGGGAATCTCGTATCCATAGTATACATATCAGTGGTATAGGGTATGTAGATATTAAGTAGCGCCCTCTGTAACAAATTTCCCATAGGTTAGAAACTCTATATAAATAAGAGTTTTATTTGCAAGAAATTAGAGGTTCTTGTAATTGTATTAAGTAGTAATTGCATTGCAAAATAATGCCATTACGATTATTCCATTAATCACACCCAACAACGTTATGGAACATGAGAAATTGTTTATGACTACATGTAACTGATCAGAACCTAAACATTAATTTTGTGTATATGTATTTAGGTGTAATATGCAAAAGGTTCTGTGAATCTAATGTTAGTTAGATTTGTTTAATACATTTACTTACATGGTACATACAAATGGTTGGTATTTAATATTATTATTTTAATTATTTTATGATAAAATAATTCTATATTCAGAAGAAATTATAGCATAGTACAATGAAGGTTTATATGTATGTATCTATGAAGAGATTATTGATCTGTTAATTAATATAATTCAGATTATTTAAAGGTATTTGGATATTATTTTTAAAGTACAATTCATTACTTCAAAAGAAACTTATTGTCACATTGTATAATCTTCATCTTACATCAGAAGAAATATAATCAAAAATAAATGTATCAATGATCATCAGTTTATTAAGATGTGATTTATGTAAAAATATGTAATCTAATAAAATTCTAAATCTAAACTATATCTGCCAATAAGTTTAATCAATAAATTATAATCAGTTTAATTATATGTTATGTATTATTTCAATAATCTCTTCAATCTGCAGTTGTGTTTGTTATGTAAATGAGAGGTACATGACTACAAAAATTGTAACTGTATACATGTTACACAAATTGTACTTCTAAAGAAAAATTCAGTAAAATGTAATAATGTAATAATTCTTATGTATGTTTCCAGGATCATACATTCAGAAGGATTTTGGACACTATATCAAGGTGGCTTGAGGACTTATAATTGTGTTTAATATTGATATTCTGATACCTTGTAGTGGTTATGATAACATAAAATACAGTATGCATATTAATAGAGGATGTTAAACGAATTATATTGCAAAATGTATAATAGTTTTTATGTATTGTGATTTTGGATTTCTTAATAATTGTTTCAATCATTTGCCGCGACGGCAGCTCCGTATGTTCTGTTTTACCGACGGTTTAGAAACAGCAAAACATATTATGGCTGAATGGTGGTTTTCTTATTAAGAATGATGTGTTGATTTGTCTAAATACATTGTATGATGTGAAGGAGATACACAGCGAGTGTAATTAATGGTGAGACTTACTGATATAATTGTAGACATAATTTGCATAGTACTATCTAAGTTCTTAGTGTTGTAATGTACTTATTGTATCTCATAAAAAAGTACATGATAAATGGTATAGGGGATATGGTATTGCTGTATCAGTAGAAGGAACAGCATTTCATTGCTTTTGAGCTTAATACCATAAATATTTATGTAGTAATTATAATTAATATCAAAGGTTCATCTGTATTCAAATTTTAAAGTATCAATTTGGTGCTTATGGATCATATTTCTAGGATACTGTGAATACTGTGACATGTAATAAACAGAATCTCATGCCAAAGCTAAGAAAAAACCGGAGAATTGAAACCAAGTGGGGTGTCAAATATTATACAGCAGTGAAAAATGCTGTTTTTGTAACCCAGGCACCATCTTATGTGCCAAAAGAACCACCCCTCACCTTGAGAGAACATGTTTCAGAATATGAAACTTTACATATGTGTGCACAATGTAAAGACTGGTAAGTTTATCAATATATTTAATATTTTTTTCAGTATCTTTATTTCATTATTTTAGTATAACCACTCATGATATAAGTAATTTAGCATATAATAATTAGATCAAAATATATTAAAAATAAAAATCTTATTTTTTGTTAGTTTCCATTTTCGAAACAGTTTGGAAGATCACATTGCAAGGAAAAGTTGGATATTGGGATATTGGTGTCAACAATGTTTCATAACTACTTGTGGTCACAGTCCCAAAGAAGGCTTATTGTGCTCTGCATGTGTGCAATTGGAACGTAACAAACGTTCATATTTAAGAAGCAGAGGTTTACACAAAAGTCAGAAATTTGGGGCAGTTAGAATCTTTTACAATCAGTGCCAGTTCTTTGCACATTTGAGAGCCCATAATGTAAATGTAGCAGATATGGGTGATTTAATGTTAATGCCTTTACCAACAAACATAAATCATAATTGGAATCCTGAAGTAGATATAACATTGGAAGCACTCATGGAACATTCATTTATAATGAAAGTGCATATAATGGATTGGTTAAAGGATAACAGCATTGAGAATAATTGGTGGCAATTGGTTACTAGTGAATCAGAAAAGAGTAGTAATTTAATCACCCTTGTTATTAAGGGTTATAAAGGCAAATTTTACTTTAAACCATTAGAAATACCAATAGAAGAACAGTTTTCAATTTTAAAATCTTCTCATTCTACATCCAATAATAGCTATAGGTACTCTGATATTGAAATTATTGACTCCATAGAAAATGTTGATAAAAGGAAAAGCTCATTTTCTGTAGATGCTGCAACTTTCATTTCTGATAAAGGTGTGATTGAAAATGAAGACAATCCTTGTACATCAAACGACATTGCTTTTGTGGATTGTGGACCTGCATCAAAATATTTTGAACCTGAAACTCCACTAACTAATAATACAAGGAAACATTCAACACCTTTTACAAAATCACTACAAAATAATTTGATTGCTAATATGGTTACTACGAAATTTAAAAAAAATAGAACCACAGGTTTGAAGTGTATTTCATCTGATATGGTTATGTCATATGGCAATACAATGATTACGCCAAAACTTAACAATAAACATAAACGTGCATTGCCAGTTATAGTGGCCGCCAAAAGCAATATTTTAAAGACAGATTTGAATAAAACAATTCCGGACAATTTTTTAAATATAGAATCAATATCTCCTGCAATAACAACGGATACGTGCAACGATAAATTAGATAAATTAAAACAAAATGTACATACATTAACAGTTAATTCTGGCCAAAAGATTTTTACATTTCAAGGCACGAAGCGTGTTGACATTAATACAATTATCAATCAACTACCCTCTCATATTGTTAATAATAAAAAGATTGTTTTTATAGGACAAGATTCAGATATTATAACTGTTCATAATAAACAAGAATCGTCTCCTAATAAAAAGGTAGTTCAGTTGGTACCTAATACTTGTAGTGAAAAAGGTACTGAAGTATCGCAAACGAAATCAGTGGTACCGTTTCATACATCAAGAGAATCACCCCCCCAAAAAAGTAGTAAAGTATTAAAAGAAGTATCTTCTAAAAGGACAGCGAAATTGGTACCTGTTGCCTGCCCTGATAAAAATACAAAGACATCGCAAAAGAGATCAACGGTACCGTTTCATACATTAAGCGAATTACCTAACAGAAACGTTAGTAAAACTGCCCTTAAAGGTCGAACTGAATTTACGAAAAACTCAGCACGATCGTTTTCGGGTAAAGTAATATATCAAAATGGTCGAAAATATATTGTTAAACAGTCGTCAGCTTCCACTAAAAATTCTAAAAACGTATCCAATGCAATAATGTTAAGGAAAGGCGTACGAAGTAAAGTGGAATCAAAATCTGTAAATAATATTCCACCATTAATACCTATAAATTCTACCGAATTAGAAAATATATCCAGCCAAGAGAGAATGAACTCTCTTCAGGGTGATGTGTCACCCTTAACGCCTTCACCATCTCCATCAGAATTGTCGAGCAGTTCTAGTTGCGACGTTCAGTCAAAGCAATCCCTTTCAGTCGTAAAAGCCAATCAAAAGATCGAAGGGACTTATCCAAAAGTTGAACATATAGACGTTAACATCAACACGCAAAATCTGAGCAACACTTGTGAAACTTTGTCGTTCTACAAAGGCGAAGATGAGAATTTGTACCTCGATGTAAAGTTTCTGAATCAGAAGTTGGTCCATACTATCGTCGATTCGTCCACAATGATAACAAAGTGTAAGCAAGAAATGTTGAATGAATTTTTTCATCTTCCTTACTTTGAATTAATGAAACGATACGAACATTTGCAACAAACTAGCGACGAAGTATTAAGAGTAATGAATTGCATAGATGATAACGTGATTCAAGAAAACTTGAAAGCTGTAAACATCTTGCAACACGTCCTGAAACATTGTATCGACAAATGCAGCGAAAAAGTTGATGATACGAGCGAGGATACACCATTAAACGAATGGGAATTAGAATTCGAGCGCACGGACACAAAAATTGTTTGCAAAACGTGTAATAAAATTACGAAGCCTAGTTCTTATATTCCAGGCTTTTCGAAACCCTCGAAAAATGATATTTATTGCTCTTGTTACAGACACGTTTGTCACAAGTGTCACATGTATCAAGGTAACTCGATGCGTTTCTTAGCTCATCAGACTTTTCACGAAAAGGAGAAACCGCACTCGTGTCCAGACTGTTACCGTAAATTCACTACATTTAAATCACTGGAAGCCCACACATGGACTACCTGTTTTCATACATTGAAGAAGCGTGTTTTTGGCTGCAAGATTTGCGAAATAAACGGCTTTCAGGACATGGAATCTATTGCTAGGCATTTTAGTATCATGCACAGTCACAACAAGATAGCGTGCAACAAGTGTTACGTTGTTTTACCTTCGTACTCCGCGTATCGAAAACACCATAAAGAAAAACACACTAGCTCAGACGAGCTGCTTCCCATAAGGCTGGTGCTGTGTAAACTTGGACAGTGTATCGTTCGTTGCGAAGAGTACATGCTTCACATGGAGAAGCATTTGGTCGTTCAAAGAATGATATGGTTCAAATGTCCGTTTTGTACGTTTATAAATGCAGAAGTGAAACAAGTAATGTCTCATTTGCAAGGTGATCATCTTTTACGTCTGAAGGAGCTAATAAGTCCTCAAGTATTGTGGAACGTTTTGCCAGCTGATTTATTAAACCATAGTCCGCCGCAAAGTAAGTGTGCGAATACACAAGCGGAAGTTGAAGAGAATGGAACGATCATGCCAAAAATCATCAACACCAGGACCATCACGTCGGAGGTGTTTGAACATGGAACTCAAATAGCGAATGATTATCTAAATTATGGCACTCAAGAAGCTAAACCGTCTCAACAGTCGTATAAAATGTTACCCAAGATACTCGACGTCAGATCGATCGCTGATCTAACGTTGAATGATTCGAAATTGGCAGAAGAAGATACACCGAAGAAATATATCAAGATGGGCAACGATGAAATGAAAGAGATAAAACTCGAAGATACAGTTGATAGTAGATGGGATGAGAAACCGATTAAACCCGATCCAGACGAGATGTACATAGAAGATCACTTCTCAAAAATTGAACAAGATGAAAGCATCAGTGATAGCTTGAAAACTAAACTGGTACTCGATGAAAAGACCGATCCGCAAATTGCACAAACCAGGCCAATCACGGGACCTCCTCCATTAGCTAGAATTCCACAATATGTCTTAGAATCTAGTCGGCCCAAAGTGTCTGAACAGTCCACGAAAGCAGGAAAGGCGGTATTTTCTCGAAATCACAGAGCCGCTCGACGTCCTCAACGAATTGCTTTGAGTGACTCGTCTAAGAAGATCTTTAACTTCTCCTGCTATTTGTGCGGAGAATTAATCAACACGTCTCAGGCCGTAATAAAGGATCATTTTCATAGGAAGCACTCGCAAGACTGTAAAGTGGTAATAGTAACACCAAGACTGTTACGGCTATCCTCCGAGTTCATTAACGGTGGCTACAAGGATCTGCTGGGTAGCAGAAAACGTAAGTCTGACAGTAGCTCGTCGAATTCAAAAAGAAGGAGACGATGGACACCGAAGAAGCACAGCGATTCGAAAAATGCAAATTTCGCTGGTCTTGGGCTGTGCGTGAAACAGGAAACGGCAGAGGATAGCGAGGGTAACTTTAGGTGTAAAAAATGCGATCAACGGTGTACCGATATGGTAAACTTACGAGAACATATTGCCTCGAATCATAGAATCCGAGGACGATGTTTAGTGTGTCTAGAGTGTGGAGATAATTTCGTTGTCGCGCCCAGTTTGCAGATGCATCTGAAAGCATTTCATGGGATAGAAGATCCCATCACTTACATGGCTCAAAACACGTCGTACGCTCCGGACAACGTGGACGATCTTGAAGCTGAGGGAAAGTCCATCGAGGCAAACCAATGTCACGTTTGCATGGCTGTTTTCGAAGACAAGGCTGCGGTGGACAAACACCTGAGAGTTCATGGGATGGCATTTCTTAATAGAAAAAGAATCGAGGCACAGAACGCGTTAAAGAGTCCGGAGAAGAAAAACGAAACGGGAGATAAAATCCAAACAACACCCGTTAAAGTACATTCAAAGAAACCTCCCCAAAAGGATAAACCAGCGGAGACTATTCTAGAAAAAATCACTGTAAGTTTTGTCGATTAGTGGGATTGGAGCAAGTTTTGTAGATTGTTGGAATTGATTAGAATAATGAAATTTCTTGTTTCAGGCAACTATATAGCTAACGGAGGCACGACTATCAGAGTCAAAGGCAATCAGAAAGTAGTGAATACTTAACAATTTCCAGTTTTAAATACGACAGCAAATCTGTGATTATAACGTTTCGTTTAAACGACGAACACATTTTATTCTTTTCATTAGCGAAAATTAGCAAGGAGTTGCTAGTTATTTTATTAGGATTGAAAGGAGACGAATAACTTGCTTCTTCTATTAACGCTCAGCTCAATAGACATGTTAATTTTTTCTAACAAAAGAAAAAAAAATTACGTCTTTTGTACATATATATGAATAACCGTAGATAGATATGTAATTTATTTTATTAGGGATTTCATCGTTAATATATACTTGGATAACAATTAAGTTACTGTATTGTGCGCATCGTTGAAATTTGTTTCTTTAATTTCTCGTAAATCATATAGCCATCTATTGAAACTTGTATATTTGTTGGTCATGATAGATGCTCTTTATCTATCGCGTCTCTCATATCTTTCAAAAGTTTTATTAACGCAATGTAAATAACTGCTCTGTTTTAAACAAAAAAAAAAAAAAGATGTATAACTTTTTGTACTTTCGCCAATTCATATCCACCGTGTTGTATCTACAGATAGATAACAATAAAATATTCTAATTTATTTCCTGCCGACTTTTACATGTACCAGATTCTCGGGGTGATAAACAGAATAAAAGAAAGAACTGTGTGTTCCAGTAAATAGGTAGAATATATGCGTATCTTTATTACACCATTTGTTAATTGCGCCGACAAAACATTATTGCTTAGTGGTAGTAAGTCAGTAAATTCAATGATTGACACATCGAGACGTTTATCGAGGTACGAAACGAGGGGATACGTTTGCGTTTCTTCCACTTTTATCTACAGATTTATACACACGTACATTAACTTGTATGCGCGTCAGCATGAAAATATCGGTGCATCACGTTTCAAGATTTACAGACGAAATCGACAATTGTTATTTTCGTTTTAGACGACTCGCCATGAGTCCCAAAAACCATGAACTATGGTTGAAACAAGTGTCATTGTGTTACACCGAGTGCAGGTACTGAAGGAAGGGATCTAGGACGCTGAACACTTTAACGTTTGTTTGGACCTGTAAGAGTATTCTCAACTTTCCTATTTCTCGACTTTATGCGATTTGAGCTTGTCAATTGATACGGAATGATATCGAGGAAACGAAAGGTTTACAAAGAATCTTCAATCGATTTTCATCGAAACAAATTTCGAACAACGAAATGAAAATTATTATTAATACGTTGGTCCCTCCGTAATCCATAAAGTCGATCAGCTGGTATACTTTTACCGGCCCTGTATTATTTTTGTCTTTGGCACAATTGCTAGGGAACACACACGATCAAAGTTTAAACAGCAATAAATTTTCGTTCCTCGTACTGAAACCTTCGTAAATCCAAGTTGATCATAGTTCTACGTGTTACGGTTAATCCTTTAGATCCCAAGATAAAATTGAAACACAACTTTTAAATTAAAAATGTTGCGTTCACCATATGTTTCAATGATTTTAATCGGCCTAGATTGGTCGTTGGGATCATAAGGGTTAAAGGAAAAGAGAAACGTCTTTTCTGGGTCGTGTTGCTGGGCTGTGCTTTTCGGCACAGATTGGTACATCGCTTCTTCTTGTTCGAGACTATCGACTAGCGAAGGAAGGAAGGATATTGCAGCAGGAAGTCGTGCCTTTTCCACGATTTTACTCTACACGGCAGTTGATTCTTCGTTTTCACCCGACGCGTTCTCTTCCAAAGCGGCCGAATTCGTCACGAGGACCGTAGGACTCGAGGATCGAGAACACTCTGACACCCTAACTACGTTTGTACTCGTATCCGATTGCGATTCGTTTCTAGAAAACGACGGATCGTTTTTCGATATTCTGATCGACGACGACGACGATGAAGAAGAAGCTGATCGAGTGATCTTCGAGTCTACCTCGATGGAACTGACGTTCTCGTGTACATTGTTGTTCTTCATGGTCATTTTCGAATCGTCCTCAACAACAGTCACGTCGTCAGAATGTACGCTTGTTCCTGCAGCGAATGGGAGGGCTAACGATTCTGGAGGTTTCGCCTTTCGAACAATGTTTCCCAGTTCGCTCAATGGGATTCCAAGCTCGTGACGAGTGGTCCATACGTCGCTGCTGGGACTGCAGGAGGAACCTCGGGGTAATTGGGCGATTTTCATTTTGCTTGCGTCCTCCATCGAATGCCATCGATGGGATCTCGCGATCGATGATCCAGGAGCGATCGCATTCAAGCTGTTCGCTGGCACTATTCTGTGAGGAAATCGTGGAGATCCTCGGACTTTTTCTCGCGAGGATGTTTGACTGGTGCTTGGTTCTGTAAAAAAGATAGAAGAACGAGTTAATTGGTGGATTAAATTTCTTAACACCCCCTTTCGTTAAGATTGATTGAAAATTCAAGATAAAACATTCTCTAAGATTCACAGTACTACTAAACTCGAGCATCCGTTATTTAGAATTGGGGCATTGGGGAATCGAATCTGAAACCTTTGCGTTCGTAGTCGACTACTTTACATACTACGCTGTCGTCAATTTGTTGTCACCCATACATTCACGATCCTTCTTATCGAGCATGGGAGTTTCTGTCCCACGTACATGTTACGTCTGTCTACCTTATCGTAGAAATTCGAAATTCAACTTGTGACAAAATGCATTCGTTACAGATGGAACGCAACACTGATATATGTAGTACATTATTTTTCTTATAATTTCATGTCCATTTCTTATAACGAAAGGGTTAAGATAGGTCGTTCGTTTGGTTAGAATTTTTCGAGGCAGTAGATGATTAATGGATAGCCTGAAAATGAACAGTTTGGATACACTTACTGGGCGGTAGGCTGAAATTGACTCTTGGCTCGCTGCTCTCTTTACGACGCAGCCCCAGGCTTAATCTGCGATCTTCTTCGCTAGTAATACTAATTATTGGTCCTGAGCAACACCGAGGATGAGGCGAACGAGTGCCTTGGGCATTCACCTGACAGGTAGACGCAGCTTTCGTGCCCGGCACCAAACCAGCTATGTAGCCCATGTGAACCCGCAGTGCTGATGCTACTCCTACAAGATTACGATAAAATTTCTATCTAGTTTAATCCTTCATTTCAAAACGCCTCGAATTACTTTGCTCAAACGAGAAAGTCGTTTTACCATTACCCGAAAACGAGGCGGTTGAAGTTTTTCTGCTGTTAGGACGACTACCGAAAAGACTCAAGAGTCGTTGAAAAACGCCCAAACGATTCGGTCCTTCCGTTTCCCTGCGCTGATGAAGCTTGTAAATATCCGCGAGACTTCTTCTGCCGCCGCCGTCTGGTTCGAGATCCGGTTGGCTGCTAAACGCTACGGTACCCCGGCGTATGCCTAGATCGAAGAAATGCCAATAATAATCCGTATTCCGATGATCGCTAAGGAAATTGCTAGCAAATTTACTGACATTCTTCGGCGGATCGAAGATTTCATCGCAAAAGCGTAAGCAGGTACTACGATATCGTAGAAGAGGAAGGAGGAGATTCGTTCAAAAGTATCTCCCTTTACTTTATCATAATTTTCTGTAACTACGTTAAAATTTTCTTGATCCTACGAAACCTTTGTACTCTACGCGCGTAAATCAACTTATTCGTGACAATCTAAGCACGAAATGTCATGTGTTATCGCCGAAAGAAGACAACTTTCGATCGACAATCTCGACAATGGGTATCAGTTTCCCGGAAAGAATAAACATGGAAATTCTGCTCGATTGTTTACACGTTCGATCGACTCGCGGGCGTCGAGTTTGTCCATCGATTTCTCGTTCAGCTGAACGTCATTGCATTCCGAAACAGCGAGGTGAGCGTACAAATTCAATCGTGCAGAACTCGGTATATGCATGTGCATTGCCCTGTCAGGGAGTTGTCCGAACTTGTCAAGGGGTTTGGGACTCGAAGCTCGAGGGATACAAGAGTGCAGTCTAGTGTCTCGAATGGCAATTAATATGTCAGGATTGTACGAGTCGTGTTCGCAAAGCTCCAGCAAGGGCTAGTAATGCCGGCTAATGTCCTGGTGACAATTAGACCGACTTCGTGTCAACTGTTTCATCCACGATCACAAATAGCAGTCTGTAAATTTGTTTAACACAGAATCGCGAGTATCGAGTTTAGCGTCTCGTTATCGAACGACACGAGCACAAATTATTATAATTAATATTGGACAGACTACCGCTTCAGATCGTTGGAATAACAAGCTTGCGTGAGATAACGAACGCTGTTGTTAAACAAACGTGAAACGAAAGGGAAAAAGCAATTCATGCAATTTTTGAAGAAAAAAAACTTGCCAACTCAAACGCCTCGAGTTCATTATGAAAGGAACTTTGAATGTTTAATTAAATGTTTAACGTCGCTATTCTAGTTCTTCGATTCCTTCGGTGCAAGCATGTCAACTTTTGAATCGTTCAGAACAATGGCGTGCAATAAATAAAATTGTGTCACCTTTCTCGATCACCTGAATGACGGAAGGATGACGAAGCGAGAAGAACATTTAATTATGTATCGTTCCTTCTTTCTCTCCCTGATATAATGTCTTCATTCATCGTGCAAATGTCAATCAATAGTAGCTCGTTTCAATGGTTTACGTTTCTCGTCTACGTTTTAGTTTTTTCGCGACAGATATTTTTGACCACAGTGTTCCGTTTCGATATTTTACCAGACGAGAAAATGTACGACCTACTTCTTCTTCGTAGCTACCAAAGAGCAAACACATTGCCCGGTGTGTTCCCTCGATACCGCTGGATGTTGATAGGAAAATAAAATTTACGGGAATATCAAAGGGAAACGAGCGACTGCTGAGACAATCTTGAATCTTATGCAACACGAACGTATTTGCACAACGAATTTTTGGTTATGCATCAGAAGAAATTCACTTACCGGATGAATCCGCGGACGGCCAGCTGGCCCTAGGGATGACCGGCGGGAGAACGCTGAGCAGCAACAAAGGTAGACCACCACCGATGCTGGGGTTGCGTTGCGAAATCGATGCGCTCGACGAGGCATGCGATGGCTCGACTTGCTCCTGTGCCAATTGTTTCTCCAATCTAGCAAGTTCCAGCTCCAGCTGCGCCATTTCACGCCGGTACACGCGATTCTGCACTTCCACGCGATATTGAAGCTCGCTGCCTCCCCAACAAATTTTATCTCGGTTAGATTAGCTTGAAACGATAAACTGACAATAAGTATAAGATTGCATCGCGAAAGCAGCTATATCGGAGAAATCTTTTAAGATGGGATTTCAGAGCGACCACGATCTTCGAAATCGCGAAGGAGTATCTGAAACGTTCTAAAATGATCTTTCCACTGGTACACAACAGTGGTCAACATCCGTCATAAACTATTTCAGTTCAATCTGTGGACTGTGAAACAGGAAACAACGATGGACAGTAAGAGTGATGTACATTCACCGAGCCATATGCTCTCGTTCCTTCATATCGGATAAATTCTCGCGGAAAATTCGATAAACTTTCCCGAGTAACAACATACATAT